CATGTAGAATCGTCATCAGGTTTAAGTATTTTGTTGGCAAATTAATGAAATCCACTTTTTTTTAATAGAAAAAGCCGATAAAGGTTATAAATATTTTTATTCTACATGAGGGTAAGTTTCTTCTAATTTCCATTTTTCGTCTAGTCTGGTCAATTTAGACATTTGATGTACATAAATTCACAACTAGCCAAAAATTGATGAGATTGTTTAATATATAATTATAAATAAAATTTCAAAGTTCCCCATCTTTCCCCTTTGTTTTTATAAAAGAAAATAATAATTAAATAAAGAAATTCTAACAATTTATTCGGGTTATTACCGCTATTTTTTTTATCAATATTATCAAAGAGATGGGAATTAACCAATCGTACCTTCACTTATGCTGTACACTGAATATAATAGAACTATTCAAATAAATTTTACTAATTAATAACATTGTAGTTAATAATTTAAATTGCTCTCTTCATGAATATACATATATGACGTTCCGTTTCAAACTGAAAAAATTCGGTAACCTGGATCTAATGAGTGGATTATGGTATGCTGTATTCTTCATAAAATGCTAGTCAATTTCCATATTGAAAACGAAGAACGCATTGAATACATCTTACCATCTGGAAGTAACACGAGAAGTAGTCTTCTTAAATTCATACAAAATCAACAACTTAATATACATCAGTATATGGTTTTCCCACATGTATATTCACAATATATTGGTTTGATTAACAAATAAATAGAAAAAATTCAATTCAAAAATTAATTGTAGAAGTCATGATTAAAAAGAAACTTCAGGTACTCCAAAAATTTTAAATTTCCCTCGCACCACTTTATTAACTCCCCTTTATTTCTATTTGTGTTTCAATTCCTCCATTGCCAATTTTTCTTTCATTTGTAATTCCATTATTTTTAATTTTTCTTGATTGTGCAGTTCATTCAGTTTCAGTTGCATTTCCATTTAAATAAAAAATTTAGAATTTTTAATGCGATTTACTAGTTTCTTTCCACACCAGTTTACGACTTGAACAATTTGCACAAATTTACAATCTCCTCAATACTTTTTATTTTCTTTACTTCTATACGCATGCAGAAACAATGAAATTCTAGTTTAAATGACAAATCATAATCTTAGATTTTATGGTTTCGGTTTCCATACTCCCTTCACCTGGTAAGCCATCCAACATTTCTGTATATGTTGTACGCATATACCGAAGCTTCGAGCGTGTCACCTTCCAGTCCACCATTTCTATTTAAGACGTTATCTTCTATAATTGAAATTATAATAGATTAATACTAAGTTGTATTTTAAATAATAGACAGACCTCAAAATCCCTGTTTTGGGTTACGAATTCAACCAATGATTTGTCTTCTTCTAGCAGCGATTTTCTTGTTGGGTTGGACCGCACCTGCTTTGCTTTTGTCTAAAAACACATTTCTTTAATAAAATAGTATTTATTATGCATTTTACATGTATAATATTAAACTGCTCCATTTAGCCAAAAACCGTCGAAAATAGCAATAAACAAATCTAACCACAATACAAAACACACTGAAGTAAATAGCAATCAGCAGATTATTTATAACGAAACGAAAACATAGCGTACAGAGTTATATTTACGTAAATTTATTTTTGAATGCAAATCAACAACAAATTTTTAAAACTAGTGCAAAAGTTTCTGACTTTATAATTTGACGATGCAGTTATGACAACTTGTGAGTCCCCTAATTTTCTGGTCGAAATCGTCATAGTCTATCTATTTCAAAAGTGTTCCTTACTCTTTTATTCCCTTTTTGTCTCACATTGTTTCGTTTTAACTGTCCTAACAAAGTTTCAATCAATACTTGAAAACATAATACACAATATGACATCGGCTGTCGTCATATTGAAAACAAGCTATCCTTTATTGTAGTCAGTTGCCCTCTGTTTTGATTGAAAATTGTAAGTTTTCTTGTCCTATTTTGACAACGCTTCGGCTTAGTGTGCAATTCTTTAATTTATGTTCCTTTTTTCTTTTTTATTATATTTTTATTTATTAATTAGCTTATGGGCTGCATTAAGTTTATAAGTTTTTATTTAAGATAACTTGTAAGCTACGATTTTTTTTAGGTTTGGACTTGACTTCATCATTTTCAATAAGTAAATTTAAATATTTCGTATTTAGTTTTACTTTTCTCCTCCAGTGAGGATACTTCATTTAAAATCAAAAGTTTGTTCGACACGCGTCACTGTTCACTACTTGTAACTGATCATCTTTTGGCTAGGGATATTTCGTAGTTTTCTCCCTTTGTCTTGCCAAGGATATCACTTAATACACGCACTGCACTTAACGATCGATTATCATTTGGCTAGAGATCCTTTGTAGTTTTCTAACTTTGTCTTGCCAAGGATACTGCTTTGCTTTACACGTGCTCCACTTTGGGCGCCAACTAATATTATCGTCAAGAGGATATTAAAAAATATATTTTCTATTCGCGGACGCGCGGAAGAAATAAGAACAGGTGTTGTTCTTTTGATTGATATAATAAGAGTTCTCCTTTATTTTCAACTTACTATTATTTATATATTGAAATTGAAACTAGAACAAATAAATTACAATTTTTACTATTTAGCATATTTCCGCAGAACGTTAAGTGTTCTTTTTTGTTTACAATTATTATTGTTATGCCTCCATGTGAGAGTCACCAGTAATATTTTGATATGAATGGATTATTTCACTCAGAACAGAAAAAGCATATCAAATTCTTAAATCAACAAAAACGTTAATAAAGATTTTACTTATGCGACTGCAATAACTACAAAAATTACGATACAATTTTATTTACAGGTACGGCAAAGCTGCTGTGTGGAGGCTGCCGTTAACTTGCATACTTATGTGCAAAGCCATTTATCTTTCGTGACTTACATTTGTGTTGCCAAAACAATCTAATAATCGAAATTGACTCCAATACAAGCACATGATAAACATATCCGACTATTACAAAAACAAAATATCGATAATCAAATGTGCACAGCTAACGAAAAATCAAAATTCACCTTTTCCTTTGAACACACCTCGTATATGGGTATATTTGTTCTAAGAGATTGCGTTGGTAGTGATGATTACTACCATTTTCTCTTATTGCACGCAGGTATACCATACGACTACTACTACTATCAGGCAAGAAGTCATATAGCACTGAAGCTAATGTTGCCCAATAAATCTTGGAAGAATTCGTTAATTTGTTTGAAAATATAGACGGAGACCATTTAGTTAGTTACAATATACATTTTACTCCATTTAGCTGCTTGTACTAAGTATTATGATGCTCTCGATAACTTTTCCGCTTATAAGTTTGAAAACTACATGCAATATTAAAGAAAACTTAAAAATATGGTAACCCCAATAAAGTGCTGCTGCAAATTCATTACAGAGAAAGAAATAGTTCAGAATTAAGTTGCAATAGCATTTCGAAAATCTATTCATTTAATAGAGATTTTAAGAGACGAAAAGCCTCTTATTGTTTTAATCAAAAATTAGGACCCATAAAAAGTATAGACATGACAGACGAATCTGGTAGCGTTGTAGTATCAACGCATTGATTCTTGAATGCCGAAAACTAGTTTCAAAAACCATTAGAATCGTCATCAGGTTTAAGTATTTTGTTGGCAAATTAATGAAATCCACTTTTTTTTAAATAGAAAAAGCCGATAAAGTTTATAAATATTTTTTTATTCTACATGAGGGTAAGTTTCTTCTAATTTCCATTTTTCGTCTAGTCTGGTCAATTTAGACATTTGATGGTACATAAATTCACAACTAGCCAAAAATTGATGAGATTGTTTAATATATAATTATAAATAAAATTTCAAAGTTCCCCATCTTTCCCCTTTGTTTTTATAAAAGAAAATAATAATTAAATAAAGAAATTCTAACAATTTATTCGGGTTATTACCGCTATTTTTTTTATCAATATTATCAAAGAGATGGGAATTAACCAATCGTACCTTCACTTATGCTGTACACTGAATATAATAGAACTATTCAAATAAATTTTACTAATTAATAACATTGTAGTTAATAATTTAAATTGCTCTCTTCATGAATATACATATATGACGTTCCGTTTCAAACTGAAAAAATTCGGTAACCTGGATCCAATGAGTGGATTATGGTATGCTGTATTCTTCATAAAATGCTAGTCAATTTCCATATTGAAAACGAAGAACGCATTGAATACATCTTACCATCTGGAAGTAACACAAGAAGTAGTCTTCTTGAATTCATACAAAATCAACAACTTAATATACATCAGTATATGGTTTTCCCACATGTATATTCACAATATATTGGTTTGATTAACAAATAAATAGAAAAAATTCAATTCAAAAATTAATTGTAGAAGTCATGATTAAAAAGAAACTTCAGGTACTCCAAAAATTTTAAATTTCCCTCGCACCACTTTATTAACTCACTCTTATTTCTATTTGTGTTTCAATTCCTCCATTGCCAATTTTTCTTTCATTTGTAATTCTATTATTTTTAATTATTCTTGACTGTGCAATTCATTCAGTTTCAGTTTCATTTCCATTTAAATAAAAAATTTAGAATTTTTCATGCGATTTTCTATTTTCTTTCCACACCAGTTTACGGTTTGAACAATTTGCACAAATTTACAATCTCCTCAATACTTTTTATTTTCTTTATACGCATGCAGAAACAATAAAATTCTAGTTTAAATGACAAATCATAATCTTAGATTTTATGGTTTCGCCTTCCATACTCCCTTCACCTGGTAAGCCCTCCAACATTTCTGTATATGTTGTACGCATATACCGAACCTTCGAGCGTGTCACCTTCCAGTCCACCATTTATATCGAAACGAAAACATAGCGTACAGAGTTATATTTACGTTAATTAAATAAAGAAATTCTAACAATTTATTCGGGTTATTACCGCTATTTTTTTTATCAATATTATCAAAGAGATGGGAATTAACCAATCGTACCTTCACTTATGCTGTACACTGAATATAATAGAACTATTCAAATAAATTTTACTAATTAATAACATTGTAGTTAATAATTTAAATTGCTCTCTTCATGAATATACATATATGACGTTCCGTTTCAAACTGAAAAAATTCGGTAACCTGGATCCAATGAGTGGATTATGGTATGCTGTATTCTTCATAAAATGCTAGTCAATTTCCATATTGAAAACGAAGAACGCATTGAATACATCTTACCATCTGGAAGTAACACAACTAGACAAATAAATTACAATTTTACTATTAGCATATTTCCGCAGAACGTTAAGTGTTCTTTTATTAATTATTATTGTTATGCCTCCATGTGAGAGTCACCAGTAATATTTTGATATGAATGGATTATTTCACTCAGAACAGAAAAGCATATCAAATTTTAAACACAAAACGTTAATAAAGATTTACTTATGCGATTGCATAACTACAAAATTACGATACAATTTTATTTACAGGTACGGCAAAGTGCTGTGTGGAGGCTGCCGTTCAATCTATCTTATGTGCAAAGCCATTTATCTCGTGACTTACATTTTGTGTTGCCAAAACAATCTAATAATCGAATTGACTCCTAATACAAGCACATGATAAACATATCCGATATTACAAAACAAAATATCGATAATCAAAAAGCTAGCGAAAATCAAATTCACCTTTCCTTTGAACACACCTCGTATATGGGTATATTTGTTCTAAGAGATTGCGTTGGTAGTGATGATTACTACCATTTTCTATTGCACGCAGGTATACCATACGACTACTACTACTATCAGGCAGAAGTCATATAGCACTGAAGCTAATAAGTTCAATAAATCTTGAAGAATTCGTTAATTTGTTTGAAAATATAGACGGAGACCAGTTAGTTACACATACATTTTACTCCATTTACGCTTTGTACTAAGTATTATGATGCTCTCGATAACTTTTCCGCTATAAGTTTGAAAACTATGCAATATTAAAGAAAACTTAAAAATAGGTAACCCCAATAAAGTGCTGTGCAACTAATATAGAGAAAGAAATAGTTCAGAATTGTATAGCATTTCGAAAATCTATTCATTTAATAGAGATTTTAAGAGACGAAAAGCCTCTATTGTTTAATCAAAATTAGGACCATAAAAAGTATAGACATGACAGAGAATCTGGTAGCGTTGTAGTATCAACGCATTGATTCTGAATGCCGAAAACTAGTTTCAAAAACCATTAGAATCGTCATCAGTTTAAGTATTTGTGGCAAATTAATGAAATCCACTTTTTAAATAGAAAAGCCGATAAAGGTTATAAATATTTTATTCTAAATGAGGGTAAGTTTTTCTAATTTTATTTTCTTAGTCTGGTAATTTAGACATTTGATGGTACATAACACAACTAGCAAAAATTGATGAGATTGTTTATATAATTATAATAAATTTCAAAGTTCATCTTTCCCTTTGTTTTATAAAAGAAAATAATAATTAAATAAAGAAATTCTAACAATTTATTCGTTATTACCGCTATTTTTACAATATTATCAAAGAGATGGGATAACAATCAATTCACATTATGCTGTACACTGAATATAATAGACTATTCAAATAAATTTTACTAATTAATAAATTGTAGTTAATAATTTAAATTTCATGAATATAATATATGACGTTCCGTTTCAAACTGAAAAATTCGGTAACCTGGATCTAATGAGTGGATTATGGGCTGTATTCTTCATAAATGCTAGTCAATTTCCATATTGAAAAGAAAACTATAATACATCTTACCATCTGGAAGTACAAGTAGTCTCTTAAATTCATACAAAATCAAACTTAATATACACTATATGGTTTTCACATGTATATTCACAATATATTGGTTTGATTAACAAAAATAGAAAAATCAATTCAAAATTAATTGTAGAGTTGATTAAAGAACTCTGGTACTCT